CAAACATTTTATGTCACCTTCACCTTTTAATGATCATTGCTTTGCACAGTTGAATATTGTTTGGATTTTTTCCATTCTGGCAGTGATTATCCCTGTCAAGGCCTTATTGTTGAAGAACAGCTTTCAAAGTTCATGAGAAACTTCTTAAATTTTATCTATGTACACATGTTAAAAGAATTAATAATTTTATTTTTTATTGCAATTAAATTTTTAGAACATAAAAGTTCCAAACTTAAAACACATAGTCTGTGTTTTTAAGGTCTCTTCAATGGTAAAAAAATCTTGATTATCTCTCCCTCTTTGTGAAATCTGTAATACTTTAACTTAACTAAATAATGTGCAACAAATCAAATTGCAAGCTTCAAAAATAATAAATATTTTACAAACTCTTTTTAAAGTCTGTAACTCAGAGGACAAATTGGCATCTCTATCTAGTACTTGCATAATATAATAATAATCTCTGTAATTGTTACTTGATGTTTCTGAAAAACCTAGTGAAAAATCAAGGTGGTAAAAGAAAGCTGTGTCTGTGATGCTGCAATGGCATGTAGTTTCTACACATCAAAATTATTCACAATTCCATTGTCAAGTGATTTGCTTGCATGAATGATGTGAAGGAGTGGCATAATGGTAATATGTGGGTCATTTTCCACAGCAAATACTTCATTAGTTTTTAGTTCTTGCCTTGTCAACTCTTCAGCGAGCATTCTTTTTACAAGACAAAGTAAAAAACCAACCAAACAAAAAAACCAAACAATCAAACCCAAAAACCCATACTCCAACAAGCCCCCCATAAAACCAACCTAAAACTGAAAAAAACCTCAGCTTGGTCTTTTCATCCCAGTTAATTACAAAGCCACTGAAAGGTACCATTTTGTTATGTAAGTTAGCTACTCAGAAAGTATGAAAGGGTTATTTGCTGGTAGAATAAATGAAAAAACTTCCTCAACATGCACATGCATAAGCAAATACAATCCAGAACCGAATGCCCATGTTGCACTTCCATTTTTTTAACTACACTTGTCACTTCCCAGAGGCTGAATTTCAGAAACCAGTAAGCTGAGCAGAAATTAGTAGTCTGTACTGGTCTTTCTGAATTCTGAATGTTCCATTTCAGCAGGAATGTGTGACTGTTTTTGCATTTAGCAAAAGGGTAACTTTGATTTGCTCTGTGTCAAAGAAGTTTCTTAAAGGTCTGGTGTTTATAAATCTGTTTAAAAAGCTGTGCATAAAAAGGTTTGTCTATAAATACAGAATGGAACTTTTGGCCTCTTACCTGGCTTGTTTACTGAGTTTTCTCCAGCAACCTCTATAACAACTGCCATTCTTTGATCAGCAATTTGGCTGCACAGATGCTTCTTTCTTAGTGAAGTCTTTACTTAACTCATTCTCTTCAACCGGAAGCTGAAGGTGTGGGTAATTTTGTTCAGTTACACTTACAGTTTTGATTTTAGATCCTTTGCGCCTACTCCATGGCCTTGTGATTTTATTTCCCATAAAATGATCACTTTTTATAGTTATCCATTCTAACTCATGTTCCATTGAATTCAGTTCCCTAACTACCTTTTGAGCTGTACTTGAAAGGGCTTTAAGGCTCAAGCCTTTTCTTTTTGTACCTTTTTTGTATTCATTCATCTCTCACTAGAATTTCCCTCATCTCAAAGTAGGTCTTAGCTATGATTCTGTAAGTCTGGGAATGCAGTTATTAGAACATCTTCCTATTTCTGTAAAAAGTATTTTAACATTGTAATATATCAAATACCTAAAATATATTTCTTTCATTTAGAAAATAATGCTATGGACTTTGAATTTGGTTTTATAATTCTATTTATTTAGTTATATCATTAGAAGGTACATGTATAGTAGCATTTCTTAAGAATACTGAACTACATGGTCCAACTTCCCATCAAATTACTACAGATTTGCATATAGTAAATTGAAAAAAGGATAATATAGTTTTTCTTCTGTATTTTTAGTAATGCTGATAATCTTCTTTTTTCTTGACCCTGCTGTTTAACTGCAGGAAACATATCAATAAATTCTGGTTGGCTGATCTTTTTCACCTTTCTTACTAAAGCCAAGGTAATTGAAAGTGTCTGCATTTATTCCACTATGTAATAAAGGGAATTGGAGATATTCTTGAACTGTTGAAAGTATTTTTTTAAGAATAAAGCATTTACTACAGGAACTGTTATGGAAGAAAAAACATTAAGATTGCATTTTCAAATACCAAAAGGAGCATATTTGGTTTGGGTTTAGTTTCAACTATATTTTATTTAATTATATCAGTTTTTCTTTAATTCTACCTGCCTGGATTTCCAGTCTGCTTGAAAAAATTGGTCTTTCTTTCAGATTTGTATTTTCTCAGGGAAGAAATGCCTACTTGTTATTTAAAATAATGATGCTGAAAGTGAGGAGATACTGAAGCTGGGTTATAACCAGCTGTCATTAAACTTTTATTATCAGTCTTTGCCTGATATTACCTTTGGCACTCCTGATTCATTTAATGTCAGGCTCATACTAGGGTGATTTTGCACTGATAATATTCTTTCAAATTCTTTTTCATGCAAGAAAAAGACTTTGCATTGATAATGTTCTTTCAAATATTTCAGGCATGATCTTCTCATAAGTAAAGACTGGCAACTCTGCATTCTGCTCACTTATTTACATCTTCGAATCCCATTGCCACCTTCAAAAATATAGAGGGCTCTTGGTGCTAAAAGCATTTCATTTTGCTGATGAAAATAATGAATGGGATCTGGAAACACACCCAGATTTTGGATATTCAGCTCCCAGAGAGGTTCATCATGGGGATGAGCTTTATTTTGAGTGGCAGAAGGCCTGGCTATACAGACAAGGCATTGCCAGATTTAAAAAAAACAGATTCTGTGCAGCACATTTAGGAACAATACTAAGAAAAAAGAAATGCTAGTTTTTTTCCTCCTGTGGTTTTCCATGACACTCAGCAAAGCTTGGTTATAGAAAATGGATCTTTTTCAGGTATTTTTGTTGTGATCTTCAAAGCAGCTTTTGTAAAAAAGTTGTTTTCAGTGTTCTTTGCCAGAATATTTGTAAAGGTTGTAGATTCTTGGAGATAACAAGTAGGATTTTAATTCACTACTCTTATCTTCCTCTCTTCAATACTCCATACTAATAGGTCACTTTCCAATTAAGGTTTTGGGGGTTGGGATGAGTTAGGTTTTTTTTTGGTTGGTTGGTTGTTTTTGTTTTATTTTAATGAAGGTGGAGTTTAGAACATTATTACCAGATTGAAGTTTGCTTAGCTTGGGGGTTTTTGCCTCTTGCCTAGGCTATTTTCCCCTTAACTCTAAAAAATAATGTTACCAATTTGACATTATTACCTCATTCTCCTTTTAAACCCTGGTAATGGTTTGAAATGAAATATCATTTGTTAACTGTAAAAATATCTAATAGCGATCTTATTTGACATCCAGAGTTTCTGAAAAAGTTTGCTAAATATTTTAAAAATTGAAACTACTTTATTATATTTAAAATACTCTAGCAATTAGAGTGGTGGCTATGTTCTGCTGAGCATTTCTTGCAGACCTACTGTGAGATATTGTAGGTATATTTTTAGGTCTACTCAGAATTCAAGTCTTAGAACAAAAGCAACCTTCTGCTGTTGAAATATAGCAATTAATTGAAAAATATTTAGTAATGAGTCATAGTTATCCCAGACAGTTTCCTTGATCTTATTTTGATAGAAGATAAATGCATTACCTGTTTTACACATTTTTTTGAGTTCTTTCACCTTTGCTGGAGGTTCTCTGTTGGAAAGATTTTTACTCCCTAGTTCTAGGCTATTTGCCTTACACAATGCCCACTTAGTAAACCACCTTCAGAGAAGGAAAGCAAAATTTATGTAAGTAGATTACAAAAACAATGGCATTGGATGAACCAGTAAACAGGGATAGGCATGACGATTGTCAGTGAGTGAAAAAAGGAGGCAAATTTCAAATGCTAAAGAACATACAGGGGTTATTTCTATCTATTAAATATAGAGTGAGTGGTATAAATAACCTTTATGTGTTCGGTCCTTAGAGAGGAGAGGTAAGAGAAATGCTAATTTTATAGTGTTGTTCCCTCCATTTAATTTCTTGAGTTTTCTATTACTTTAACAAAGAACAAGATCCTTATTATTTTTTGTCTTTTGTTTCCCCCATAATTTTTTTCAAGAAATGCATTTAAAGTTTATTAAAGAATTGTCTTTTTTTCAACTATCTTTAGTGAATGTTTACTAGAGTTCTATTTTTTTAATTGAAGAGGAGTTTCTCAACGAAAAATCTTGGTTGTCTGATGAAAACTGTGGAATTACCATATTCAACTTGGACCTAGTAATATAAATCAAAATTCAATCGAGAAGCAATTCAGATGTGAAAAATCGTTACCTATTTTCTCTGTCTGGATTTTAAATGCCCAGTAGGAGATACCTTAGCATCCACTTCTAATGCAACCCAAAGCACATTCCATGAGAATAAAATTTTTCACTGAGAAAGATCTGATGGAAAGAAACTCTGAAACTGTCAGATTAAGCCACCAAATTCAAGCAAGAGAAGTTATCTCAAAACTTCTAAAAGCTTGGCATCTCCATTAAGTAATCAAAATAATCAGAATGTAAAATGCAGCAGATATTTCTCTGCTGTGTTTTTTGCCACACAAATTTTTATATTATTTCCATTCTCTGTAAAATAAATCTTCTCCAAAATATGGAGATAAGCATTCAGCCAAACTGTTTCTGAAAAATTTGTATCTGTAAGTGTTCCAGCTTTGTGTGTGAAAAAGCAGAAATCCAGAGCTTCACAGGATGTTGGTCCAGATTTTGATATAGAAATGAAAATGTAAATATAAATAAACATTTAAAATTATTAATAAAGGATTTGATCAGATATTTTTCCTAATAGTGTCAATTTGTGGTCATATATTTCAATGTGCTTTTATTTTCCAAAGTAATTTTACTGTATTTTATTTATGTATTTTAGGCACAGAAGGGGCAGTGTTTGGGCACTCTGTGGAGACACCCCATATCAGAGCAGAACCTTCCCAAGACCTCAAGTAGGTGTTGTTCAAAAAGTTCCTTTAAAATCAAGTATTCTCCAAAAAAAATTAAGTCTGGATTAAAAGAACAGTATCTGTATAGTCATATATATACTGCCTATTTAATGACATAGATACAAAACGATTTATAGACTCCAGTTTGTTGTAACCAGTCAAAAAACCCTACAAACTCCTATTGCATGAAATGTAAAATACAGTACTTTTTATATATGATCTGCCTCCCATAGTGGAGTTCTTAAAAGTATATTTTACCTAGAGAGTGGAATATTCAGGTGTTTGTGGGCCCAGTGTGTGTAATATTGTTCAATAGCATCAGACCAGTTGTTTGATTTTTTATGAGCTGTTACAGAATATATAAGTCAAGCTAAAGTAAACAGTCCCAGATTTTTTCATTTAGTGGTGTTTCTGGGTCATTGGGCTTTTTAACACTAACACACACACTTTTCAGAAATTCATTACCAAGTGAAGCTGCATTTCTACATCTAAGTTATTTCTGTATATAGTCAAAGAAGATGAGGAATCAGTAGATAGCAAAAGATTAAATTTAAATTTACTGAGGAATCTGTAGAAAAGAAAACTTGGAAAAGTTTAAAGTGAAAACGTTTTTGAAGTGCATCTATGTGCACTGCTAAGTACTAATCTGTGATTTATATGGATGTGATTTATAATGAGAATTACAGAAAATCAAAGGTCCTTCCTTGTGTTCCTCCTAGCAGAACTGCTGAGAAACACTATAGGCTTTGACTCAATTCTACTGTGATTTTTGAACCTTATATAACTATCTCTTCACCTGCCCAGATGTGTTTCTGTTTGATTGCTGCAGAAAAGCATGGTTAAATGCTCAGCCTTACATTTGCAAAGGCATTGACCAATAATAACGTTGCAGAAATCATTTGCAAGAAGCTGTCCATGTGGACAAGTTTGACCACTGTATGTGGAGCGTGTGAAGTAAATTGTTGTGTTTGATTATTTACACCAAGCATTTCAAAGTAATGTATGGGTTTGGGTTCTTCCAGAGGATCCCGGTCACTGTATTTCTATCTTGAAAATCTTTGTCCCTTTCCATGACTCCTATCAGTCCTTTGTGGAAAATAATTGTAAAGGTATTTTTTAGTGATAATCACCAAGGCGATATGATCTCTAGTCAGAGGAAGTTCAGAAAAATCAAAGGAACATAACAAGCTCTTCTTTTTCCAAGGGACCAGTAATTTGGGTAATAGGCTGGAACTTGTCCTACTCAAAAGAATGTTTTCCCTACATTGCTTTCTCTACTTCTTTCCAATCATTAAATAATATTAACAGAGTGAAAATGTATAGTAAAACAGATAATCCTGTGTCTTCAGGATTAATTTAAATTCAGTTAAAATCACCTCACATTGCTTCTGAAATTCACACATGGGTCATACAGCCCGGCAGCCTTTTGTCTTTATTCATTGCCATGATTCCTATTGTTGCTTAATGATTTCAACTCCACTGTTACTTCAGTTCAGTTTCCAACATGGCCTTAAATTAGTAAGCATTTGGCATTCAACTTTCTGCCCTCTTATTAATAATTATTTTAACCCATACCTTTTATTCAAAAAATTGAAGAAACAGACACCCTTGGAGTTGGGTCAGGTAACTTTAGCTTACTTGTAAGTGATTTATTCTTAATATATTCAGTCCATATTTTGTTCTGCAAGTTTTTGTACACACGTGCTCCTGTATATTAGTTGGATTCCATCGTATTCTTTTTTAAAACTCTCAAGTCAATTTAGTAATTTAAAAATTATGACAATTACTATTAGGACATATCAGTGGGCTGGTCTGGGTCCTATTACTTTTTAATGTTTTCGATAAATTTACACAAGGTGTCAAATAATGGCAGTCCTGAAATCACCTAGAGTATTTTTCCAAGTGCTGCATCTCTATGTCTTTAGATGGTTAAACTTAATGGTAAGTAATGGGAGTGTAGAAAGTTTGCTGAGTAAACATTATTAATTTTTTTCAGTGGACACAACTGAATGCAATTTGACAGCAAATTGCAGTACATTGGTGCAAATATATTAGACTATGAGAATTATTGTATACAGGAATAAAATATAATGCAATATACATTAGATTATTAATTGAAGTATAAATAACCCCATATTTTTCATGTTGGAATATGTATTTGTGGTCAATTAATGAACCTCAGACTTTTTTCTTTTTTCCTCCAAAATAAAATATGCTGGAAACCTATTCATAGCTTTGTATATGTAAAACACTTGACTACTGCATTTTAAAAAAAATGGAATAATGACCACCTTGATTACTCCGAATGAAGCATAAATAAAAAATTTGGTCTATAAATTTGATATTCCTGGGATTTTAGTTTAATCTATCATGGGCAGGAAGACAAAAAGATAAAGTCAAATTCACATTAGCTCCACATATCTAAATCTTGCCTCAGACACTTACTTCCGTAGTCAGATTTTGAGGTCTCCATACAGGGAAGATCCCCTAATATTTAAAATCAAAAATATGTTGTTTAAAAATAAACTTAACTTGAATACTAATATAATTAATTCCTATGTGTCCAACCATTTGGGTCACATCTTTCTCCTTTCTTGCCTTTTCAAATAATAGCTAGAAAGATTTTGCTTTCAGGCAGTGCTGTTATAAAATGCTTTGTGAAAGCTTTTGTGTCAAATCCCAAAAACTAATTAAAGATGACTTTCATTAGTTGGGATAAGTAGCATGAAAGAAGCATGCTTGAGAATCAGGAAAATTAATTATATCTTAATAATTTAATGTTCCTGTTTCTCTCACTACTGTTTCTCACAGGAACACAGGAAAACTAAACTGCCAATATATTCCCCAAATACTGGTTTTAGGCCAATAGTGCATTAAAATATGGTGAACTAATAGGCAATACCCATACACAAAATATACAGACATTAGTTAAATGCAGATAACTTTGCCCTTAATAACATCCTCTAATAAGGGAATGAATTAATTTGTTGTTGTCCTCTGGAGATAACTGCAAGATCAAATTTAAAAGTTTTTTTGTCTTCTATGTCATGCCTCACACACCACAATCAGTTAATCCTGCAAGCTGATGCTGGGGATAATGAGATGAAAATTGATCAAGTGTCAAGGAACCATGCAAGATAGTTGGATTCTACTTTGCCTCTACTAAGAATTAAAAATATTCCTATCTTGCACAGGAGATCTGATTTCAGAGTTCTGATGGTTTGTAAGAGACACCTTTTTGACATTTAATGGGTGGTTTACTAATAGGTCAGAATATTATATTTTTTAAATGCCTGGAGCCGGAGAACACATCAGATTTTGACCTTAACTTGTTAGTCATCTGAGCATGTTTAGAGTGAAAAAATCACCATGCCTCTGTTTCTATTTTTAGCCAGAAATCAAATAATAGACAAAACATCATCAAAAAGTAGAAGATGCAGCAGAGTAAAAACACCTGTCTCCCTTCCTATGCTGTTTTAATGATGTCAGATTCTAGTTACTTTTAGTGCCCTTTTTTTAAAAAATAGAAATAATTGCTATTTTTGTTTTCATAATTTGTGTTAGTTATTTCATTTTTTGGGCATGGATATTGACAGAAACTTGTTTTTTTAGTCTTATCAGTAGCTGCTGAAAATATGATTTTTTAACATGCATGTTCACAATAAAATAGGTATGGATATAGTAAAATCTTAGTCTTATCAGTAGCTGCTGAAAATACGATTTTTTTTAACATGCATGTTCACAATAAAATAGGTATGGATATAGTAAAATTTGAAAAATTTCCTAAATTTAAGCTTCTCTTTTAAAAACACGTGTTCTTCTCCTTTTAAATATACATTATATGCTTTTATGTAGATGTGTGTTTGTGTATATATATGTGTGTGTATATATTTTTTTTTAAATATTGAAGTAAACAGAGAAGAAAGCCAGTAATGAAAGGCTGTAATTGCTATGCAGACAGGACAGAGTAGAAACGAATGTAGCTGGGTATGGCTCTTAAATTAAAAGAACAATTTGCTTTAGTCTTTAGTGATGATGATTATATTTGACATTGGAAAGGGAAAGGGCTCTAGCAGGAGCCAAGATATGAAGGATAAAAATATTACTATCACGAGAGATAGAAAAATCCATTGAGTTTCCTATGCTTAATTTAGGTTACTGGAGCCTCCTTTTGTCCAAGCTAAACTACCCTGGTTCCCTCAGCCACTCCCATGTCTTACACTGTAAACCCTTCACCAGCTCCATTGCCCTTCTCTGGACTCACTCCAGCCCCTCAATGTCCTTCTTACAGTGAGGACCCAGAACTGGACACAGGATTCAAACTGTGCCCTCACCAGTGATGAGTACAGGGGGACAATCACTGTTCTGGTCCTGCTGGCCACACTATTGCTGATACAGGCCAGGATGCCACTGGCCTTCTTGGCCACCTGGGCACAGCTGGCTCATGTTCAGCTGCTGTCACCAGCACCTCCAGGCCATTTTCTGTTGGGCTTATGATTATATTTGCTTTATGATTATGCCATGTCATGCCTTCAGGAACCCACAGATGGGCTCCAAGCACAGCTGTCTCAGCCTACACAGGGTTATGAGAGTAAATTTATTACCCTATCAATCTCATTTGAAAAGCCATATAAAGCTTGTAGCAGTAGAAAGCGTTTGCCCAGTGCTGGATTAATGAAAGGCATGGCAACTTTACACTGCAATCATTGTGAAGGCAGCTGAGAATCTTTGTTTACATGAAGCTGCATCAGGTCTAACAGCACGCCTGACCAGTGAGTGCTCAGAGTGCCACAGGGAGATGGTGAAGGTTTCAGTAGGTGCCCTCCTGTGTGCCCTTGGCTCCTGCAAGGCTTGTTTCAACTGTGGTTGCTCTTACACTGCTTCCAGATCTAAGTTGCTGCTTAGTTCTAATTTCACATAGGTGTAGCCTAGGACTAGGCACAACCGCCTACAATTTATTGAAGCTTTCCATTCTCACAGATACTGTGGGTAGAAATGTTTTA